CTCCTTTTCCCATCAGAGGAAGGGGACACACACTATATTTCATGATATCCTCTCCACTGCAGACAACCTACTGCTCATTCTGCTGTTAGAAATCTGCAGTTTCTGAAGGAACACAGCAGGCTGCAGTGGGAAGAGAAGGCGGAAAAGCCTCCCTTCATCCTGTGCAGCTCCAACTCATGTAGGATAGCATCAGCATTTATGTATATGAAAAAGGATCAGCAAAGAAAGCATCAGTTAACTTGAGACTAGCTTCTAGGACTAGTATGCGTAATAGTTTGAGTAGATACATCTGTCAATGTTGCCAAATAATTTATTTTCCTCCCAACCAAACCAAACCCAACCAAATAATTTATTTTCCTCCCCACCAAACCTACATCTTGGACCAGAGATTTAGACTTTAGCATTGAGACGCATTACCAGAAAGCTACCCTGTATTAAGCATTACAACTGTATATAGCATGACACCGAATTCAACACTGCATACCGTTTGTCTGACCCCATGGCTTGCCTTCTGCTCTTGGTTTCTACCGCTTCTTGTAGATCAAGAGAAATGTCTAGAAAACAAAGGGGGGGAATCCATCAACGCAAGCATAATTTTTTAAAGTCCAGACTGCAAGGATTCATGGCTCTATCAAACCTCACCCCTGCTCATTTATCGTCAGCATCAATGCTGCATCATTAAAGAAAGTTCACCGACAGCATACTCACATCTGAAAATAAGCTCCAATACCTTAATCTAAATACAGCTACCTTAAAAAAGCAATAGTTTACTAAAGCAATCATTTCTGTGATTAGAATACTGCATAATGAACACGGCGAAATGCTCACACTAAGTCACCCCAAATTACAGCCCATATACCCTGCTTTAGCAGTAGCGATTCATTCTGTGACAAGTGGGGTATGAAACAGCCCAAACGGGAGAGCAGCAAAATGGTGTCTGACACGCCGCAGTGTCCGGGAAGAACGCAGCCACTGATCGTCAGTAACGACTATTATTAACGAATACAATTGTCAGCCCCAGTGGCCTTCGTGAAGAAAAAAACAAAGATGGGGAGCAAGCGACGATGCTCTGGAGACAACCGACTACACCACCCCCGCCCCCTTTACCCTTAGGGGCACCCAGACCCGCTAATTACTAGACCCCCTAATAATCCCAAAAGAGAACGACGTTACGGCCCTGACTCTGTACTTATTTTACGGTCGTAACCATCAGAGATATCAGTCTTCGCAGCAAGGTCTACGACGGCCTCTTAAAAAGTAATCAATTACGATGGTATTTATTGTACATCACGGCCTGGGTTCTTTACCTTTCCTGCATAAAATAAATGTCCTGTATAAAGTCCCAAGAATCCGAACTTACCGGGAAGGGGAAACGGGAAAGAAAGAACCGTGCCACCGCAGCAGCCACAACGACAACAACGACCGCCGCAGCTTTTCTCAAGCACCACAAAATGGCGCTGAGGCAGACCTCCTCGTCTTCTACCCACAATGCCCGGCGCCACCCTGTTGGAAGTTTCCAGCAGCAGACCGGCAGAAGCTTGTTTTCGCGCGGCATCCTGGGAACTGTAGTGCGCTTAGGTTAGGCGGAGCCCTCTTTTGTTACATTTTGCCGGAGGAAAAAAATGTTTTAAAAAAATATTGGGTTTGTGTGATGGTGCACCCTCCTCCCTCTTAAAAGCCCTGCTACCCAGCACTGCGATGTAAATATTCTGACACCACTAAACTCACACCACCGGTTTCTTTCTGCGGAGTCTTTGTACAATTGAACGAATTCTAGGTTCACTAGAGCTCGCTGGACGTCCGACCATCTTGGGAGTGATATATCGCTAACCTCTATGAACATTTTAAAAAGTTCGCTAGCTACCTTTATACATACATAGTTCTGGAAAGTATAGCTGAGCGCATAGGACTGGGCTGTAAAATCTTAATGGTAGCCCGCCTCTTTGCAACACAGACTGTACCCTGTGTAGCGCGAAGCTGCAGACCCATTTTGAGTCTCTTATACAAGGCATAAGCAGAAATGCATTTCAGTGCAGAACTGCGATACCGTTCTCGTTTAGGGTTAATGCTTGCTTGATCACAGGAAACGTGCGTTTCGGCTCAAGCAGGCCTTTGAGAAGAACTCTCAGAAAAGCAAAGTCACACGAAATAGTAGAGAAGCATAAGTCAGTAAGAAAAGAACCTCTAAATTTTAACAAATTGTACAAAATGGCCGAAGGGGGCGTATCTATTACATGACAGCTACTGTCGCATAGATCAGACTGGAGCGCCCCGATCTACCAGCAGGGTAAAGCAAATTGTACTTTCCTATCAGAAGCATTGCGGTTCGGGAGTGATAGCGTCTGCAGTATCCCAGAAGAACAAGCCAGTTAGAGTGTCGGACTAGAATCTGGGAGAGGCAGATTCAAAATCCTCACTCTGCCAGGGAAACTTGCTGGGGTGACCTTTGGCCAATCATACTCAGCCCGACCTCCCTCACAGGGCTGCTGTTGAGGATAAAATGGAGGAGAGAAGAACAAATAGGCTGCTTTGGGTCTCTACTAGAGATGTATAAATGAAGCTTTAGGAACAGCAACTGGAATTTCCCCACCACATAATTATACCTGTTACACATAAAGTGACAAAGTAAGATCCAGAGTATGAGTTGGCATATTATGTTATGGTTATTTATAGTCCCATAGAGACTCAAGTACAGTCATCAGGATGGGACACCCCATGAGCAACACAAAAGTGTTTGGACTACAGAAATCTGAAACAGAGCTGAAAAAAGGCATGTTTTTTTAAACAAGTGGTGAAGCTACCTAGTCTGGAGCATCTTTACAGTGTTAGGTAGCAATAGTGGTGTAAGTCACAGTCCCTATCTCTTTACCAATGCAACTTTCTGACCATTTCATTACAGTAGTTTTATTTACCTGTACAAAAAAGCCCTCTTGAATAATTCAATTTTGCAGTTTGCAGAAATCCAGGAGAGCAGAGACCATTCCATAAGGTGGGGGCCACAACAGAAAACCCATGAGTAGAGGTGGTTATAGATTTTGCCCATTTGCAGGATGGCACCAAAAGAAGCCCCTGTTCAGATGTGCTAAATTGGCATGGCAAAACATCCCATAGATGACAGGGAGTAAAGCCTTGAAGGGCTTTAAATACCATGAAGAGAGCCTGGTTAACTGGCAGACAGCCAATGGAGTGACAATATGGGAATGACATTATGTCCAGCTCCTGATAAGAAGCTAGCTGTGTTTTGAACTAACTGAAGTCTCCAAATTGACTTTGAATGGAGACCTATGTAGAGTGTATTATAGTAGTCTAGTCTCAGTGTCACCATGGCATGGATCCAGGTTGCCTGACTGGCCGAGTCAAGGTAGGGGCCATCTTGTGGGCTAGACTGAGTTGGAAGAAAGTGTTTTTTGCATCCACATTAACTTGCTTTTCCAGCTGGATCCAGTGTAATCCCAAGACTCTTAACTGAGTCTAGCATTGTGTTAGCTGAACCCCATTGAAAGTGAGAAGCACAAGGTCCTTCAAGATGTCTGACTTCCCAACCACCATCGCTTCTGTCCCGACTGGATTTAGTTTCAATTTATTTGCTTTCCACCATTTGATTACAGCACAGGTGAAGTTTAAATAGCCTTTCATCTTCTACTATTTGTGGCCTTTTTATATATCAGGTGCACAACTCACACCAATATACCGTCACAAACCAACTCAAAGGACTTTATGCTTCCTGTGAAAATCATAGCTAAATCCCACAGAAACCACTGGGAACTAAATTTAGTAGGGTATGCTATTATGATCCTATGCATGTTTACATTGGAAGCAAGTACCACTGAGTTCAATGACAGTTAAAGTATGCATAGGACTGCAGCCTCATAACTGGTTCATCCATCAGAGTGAACCAGTGGTAGTGGATGGACTCCAATTACTACATAACTTCATGCAAACTCTACTGGGAATAGATGTTCATCCTAAACTGCATTATGTTTGAACTGGTATCTGGAAATTCAGATGCAAATAGTCTGCAAACTACATACTCAGTTCAAAAACACACATTAAATTAATTCAGAAATAATTTCAGCTGAAACCAATGGGATATTTTCAGGTAACTGGTTTTAGCAAGCAAGAAGGGTTTGGACTGATTCCTATGAAACATGATTTACTTACAAGTAAACATATTTAGAAATTAAATTAATTGTGCTGATGATTAAGTGGCTTACATATTGCATTGTGTATAGAAATGTTTACAATACCTTGAAGAAATTCTCTAGCAATAAGTAATTAGTTCAAGATGTTTTAGTTACTGTGAAATTCTGGCAACACAGATGATGCCCGAATATTTACAAATAATACAGAAAATCCTGGATTCCAGTCAGTATCGTAGTGTAGCTGTATGGCTACCATATTTGTTTTTCTAACAAGTGCAGAGAGCATGACCTTTGAAACACTCCCACCATTAATACATTTCCAGTGCCATTTATGGTTTTTAATAAATAAGTGTCTGCCTAGTCCAAAGAATTTCATTGTGGGAGATATGACATAAAACCTGGCACTATGCCTGTTCAGGACAGGGCTTAACCTCTGTTCTGGTATGAGGCCAAGGGTTCTACCATCCCACCCCATTCCCCACCCAATCTTCACCCATTAATGCTGAAAGTTCAATATTGGCTCTCACATATAGCAAAACATGCTGTAGCTCAGTTCCAATGTTTCTTCTTCTAACAATGTTCCTTCTTCTAACTCCTAGGTGCTTAGTAAAAAGTGAAGGAATCCTTGTATACGCCCCCACCATTTTCTGCACAGTGCAGAGATTTTGGAGAGGAGATTCTCACAGCATTCTGTTATCAAATAGCTGCTGTCTTGTTGGAACTTCATGGGGAGAAAGATTACTAAACCATTTCTCCAATAAGATTTAGCTCACAGAAATCCAGGAAAAGTAAAAGACAACCAAACATTCACTTTTTCATTTTATTCCAAAAACAAAACAAAAAAAGACACTTCAGCAGCAAAAAACATTGATTCAAAAAACCAGAGACAGACACAAAGAAGGACTGAGGGCTAGAAGATGTGTTGGGTGTTGTGGGGTTGCTTTCAACATTTATTCAAGTTCCTTGTAGCGCGCAAACATGACTCTCCGCACAGCGTCTCGATAGGTTTCATTTGATTGCCTTCTGTTTGGTCTTCCTTGGCTCCCTAAGCCGGCTCCCTTCTTCCGACTTTCTGGCTGGGAAAAAAATTATAAGATCGTTTGCTTCTAGTAGTACTAACATCCAGAAAATAACAACTATGCTTTTAAAAAAAACAAATTTGTTAGGGAAGAAACAGGCATTTCTTATCACGTAACATATATATGAGCCCGTCTGCAGGGAGGGCGGGATATATATCTCGCCATCAAGTCGCAAGCAACTTATGGCGACCCTGTGGGGTTTAAAGGCAAGAGAAAGTCAGAGGTGGTTTGCCACTGTCTGCCTCTGCACTGGAACCCTGATATTCCTTAGTGGTCTTCCATCCAAATACTGTTTAGCTTCTGACGAGACTGGGCTATCCACCAAAACCCGTTTCAACTATGTAAACAAATATAATTTAATATTCAGGTGGGGTAGCTGTATTGGTCTGAAGCAGCAGAACAAAGTTTGAGTCCAGTGGCACCTTTACGACCAGCAAAGTTTTATTCACGGCGTAAGCTTTCGTGTGCAAGCACACTTCCTCAGTTTAATACTGTTTGAATAAAAAAGATAATAAGCAGTGAGCATATTGTTCAATACCCTGACTTCCTAACAGATTTGTATACAAGGTTAAAATGTTGTGTCCTTTCCATAGTAACGTTATACTAACCCCATATTGGCAGATCCCTCACTAAAACTACCTCTTGTATCAGCACTCACCATACCTGCTTCCAACATTCCCTTATATACCATGCTGTCCTCATCTGTCACACTCTGGGATTAGTACCAAAATGTACAGCCCCAAAGGATAATTCCTGGGCTTATACGCTGTATAGGCTCAGAGTTTATGAACTCCTTTTGCTGGATAGCAGGGAGGAAGGGTGGTGGTGGTGGTAAATGAGTATGAGTCACCTTCTAAGCACAGAGCCATTCAGTGACAGGCTGTGCTGGAGACCCAACGTGGCTGAATAAATTTCTCACACTCTTAACAAAAAAATTCTATATCTCCAAAATTCAAGGTCCTGTTCCACAACCAGCTCCCTTCTCCACCTAGTGTGGGTGTGTGTTAGTTAATTAGCAAGTCATACAGTGGTGGCATAGGAAATGAGCAGGACTAAAGGCCATTGTGGATGTAAGGCAGAGTATTTCTCGTATGCCATCAGAGAGCTACTCACAGCAGTGACTTTATAACAGTAGAAACAAAATCCTTACAAGTGGCATTGTACACGTGCACGTGTGTACCATCATCCCCAATATGTCTGAATATAGATAAATACACGTTCGGAAAGCAAAAGACAATACGTTGTTTTTTGCCCTTGTCCACTGTTTAAGTGTCTCAGTTGCAAGACTAATACGATTCTTCTGAAAAGCAGCTCGTATAGAAGTTCCAGATAGAGATGGGCTCACACAAGGATACTGCTCATGCATTTCTATGTTGAAGCCATAGAAAACACAGACAGGAGCCTTACCTCTACTGGTGATGTCATGCCTTGTTCATTGCGCCCCAGACCTGAGCCTTCCTTCCAGCCCATAGCCTGCATCATGCGGCTTCCTTTGCTACTGCTGTCCTTCCTTCCTTTATCCATGGCCTTATAGTTGCTGCAAAAACAAATATTTATTTACTTCATTTATAGCTCACCTTTCTAGCTAAGATTCAAAGCAGATTAGAAAACATAACAAACAATTTTAAAAACCAGACAGCACAAGACATCTCGCAAACAATGCAATATGCAATGTAGCTATACTAACATGAAGACATTTTCAAGAGGATGCACATTGTATACTAGCACATGTTACAGAACTGAAACATTAAGAGCAAGTTTGTCAGATCTGTCCAGAGGCTCATTCTTGAAAAAGTCTGATCCATAAAAGATATGAATTCTCTAGAGATACATGGAATAAACACCCTAAAATCAGCTACACATGGTCTCTGTCTCTTTTATATATTTATGAAAAGGTATAATTCCCTCATGGATCACTGCCTTGTCGTGGTGAGGGGGCTTGCGTGGTTCGATGAGGCCGTGGGCTTAGCCGTGGAGAGCCACCCAAGACGGACAGGCCACAGCAGAGAACTCAGACCAAGCGTGATCCCCTGGAGAAGGAAATGGCAACCCACTCCAGTACTTTCGCCAAGAAAACCCCATGGACAGTATCAAAAGGCTAAAAGATATGACGCTGGAAGATGAGCCCCTCAGGTCGGAAGGTGTCCAATATGCTACTGGGGAAGAGCAGAGGGCAAGTACAAGTAACCCCAGAAAGAGTGAAGCGGCTGGGCCAAAACCGAAAGGACGCTCAGTTGTGGATGTGTCTGATGGTGAAAGGAAAGTCCGATGCTGCAAGGAACAATACTGCATAGGAACCTGGAATGTAAGATCTATGAATCAAGGTAAGCTTGATGTGGTCAAAAATGAGATGGCAAGACTGAACATCGATATCTTAGGAATCAGTGAACTAAAGTGGACAGGAATGGGCGAATTTAACTCAGAAGACCATTATATCTACTACTGTGGCCAGGAATCTCGTAGAAAAAATGGTGTGGCCTTTATAGTCAACAAGAGAGTACAAAAGTCAGTAAAAAGGTAAAGGTAAAGGTTCCCTTGCTTGAAAGCCAGTCGAATCCGACTCTAGGGTTGCGGTGCTCATCTCTCAGAAGACCATTATATCTACTACTGTGGCCAGGAATCTCGTAGAAAAAATGGTGTGGCCTTTATAGTCAACAAGAGAGTGCAAAAGGCAGTACTGGGATACAATCTCAAAAATGACAGAATGATTTCTGTCCGATTCCAAGGCAAACCATTCAACATCACAGTAATTCAAGTGTATGCCCCAACCACTGATGCAGAAGAGGCTGAAGTGGACCGGTTCTATGAAGACCTACAACACCTCCTAGAACTAACACCAAAAAATGATGTCCTCATCATCATAGGGGACTGGAATGCTAAAGTAGGAAGTCAAAAGGTAACTGGAATAACAGACAAGTTTGGCCTTGGAAAGCAAAATGAAGCAGGGCAAAGGTTAACAGAGTTTTGTCAAGAGAACACACTGGTCATAGCGAACACCCTTTTCCAACAACCTAAGAGGCGACTCTACACATGGACATCACCAGATGGGCAACACCGAAATCAGATTGACTATATAATTTGCAGTCAAAGATGGAGAAGCTCTATCCAGTCAGTAAAAACAAGACCTGGAGCTGACTGTGGTTCAGATCATGAGCTACTCATTGCAAAATTCAGACTTAAACTGAAGAAAATTGGGAAAACCACGAGGCCATTCAGGTTTGACCTAGATCGCATCCCTGATGAATATACAGTAGAGGTGAAGAATAGATTCAAGGGTCTGGATTTGATAGATAGAGTGCCTGAAGAACTATGGACAGAGGTTCGTGACATTGTACAGGAAGCAGCAATCACCACCATCCCAAAGAAAAAGAAATGTAAGAAAGCAAAGTGGCTTTCTGATGAGGCTTTACAAATAGCAGAGGAAAGAAGGAAAGCGAAAGGCAAAGGCGAAAAGGAAAGATTTACCCAACTGAACGCAGATTTCCAGAGAACAGCAAGGAGAGATAAGGAGGCCTTCCTGAATGAACAGTGCAAAGTAATAGAAGAAAACAATAGAATGGGAAGGACTAGAGATCTCTTCAAGAAAGTTGGAGAAATCAAGGGAGCGTTCCATGCAAAGCTGGCCATGATAAAGGACAAAAACGGTAGGGACCTAACAGAAGCAGAAGAGATTAGGAAAAGATGGCAAGAATACACAGAAGAACTATACAAGAAAGACCTCGATGTCCTTGACAACCACGACGGTATAATCACTGACCTCGAGCCAGACATCCTGGAATGTGAAGTTAAATGGGCCTTAGAAAGCATTGCTAACAACAAAGCTAGTGGAGGTGATGGTATTCCAGCTGAGCTATTCAAAGTCTTAGAAGATGATGCTGTTAAAGTGCTGCACTCCATTTGCCAGCAAATTTGGAAAACGCAACAGTGGCCACAGGATTGGAAAAGATCAGTATACATTCCAATCCCAAAGAAGGGCAATGCCAAGGAATGTTCAAACTATCGCACAATTGCACTCATATCACACGCTAGCAAGGTCATGCTCAAGATCCTACAAGCTAGGCTTCAACAGTACGTGGATAGAGAACTGCCAGAAGTACAAGCTGGGTTTCGAAGAGGTAGAGGAACTAGAGATCAAATTGCCAACATTCGCTGGATTATGGAGAAAGCAAGAGAGTACCAGAAAAATATCTACTTCTGCTTCATTGACTATGCTAAAGCTTTTGACTGTGTGGATCACAACAAACTATGGCAGGTCCTTAAAGAGATGGGAGTACCAGACCACCTCACATGTCTCTTGAGAAACCTGTATAAGGGCCAAGAAGCGACAGTTAGAACCGGATATGGAACAACTGATTGGTTTAGCATAGGAAAAGGAGTACGACAAGGATGTATATTGTCGCCTTGCTTATTTAATATATATGCAGAGTACATCATGCGAAATGCTGGCCTGGATGAATCACAAGCGGGAATTAAGATTGCTGGGGAAAAGATCAACAACCTCAGATATGCAGATGATACCACTCTAATGGCTGAAAGTGAAGAGGATCTAAAGAGCCTCTTGCTCAGAGTAAAAGAGAAGAGCACAAAAGTGGGCTTGAAGCTCAACATAAAAAAAAACTAAGATCATGGCATCCGGCCCCATCACTCCTTGGCAAATAGAAAGGGAAGTCGTGGAAGTAGTGACAGACTTCACGTTCCTGGGATCCCAGATCACCACAGACTGTGACAGCAGCCATGAAATTAAAAGACACCTGCTCCTTGGGAGGAAAGCGATGGCGAACCTCAACAGCATGATAAAAAGTAGAGACATCACCCTGCCAACAAAAGTCCGCATGGTCAAAGCAATGGTATTCCCAGTAGTCATGTATGGCTGCGAGAGTTGGACTATAAGGAAGGCCGAGCGCCGAAGAATAGATTCTTTTGAACTATGGTGCTGGAGAAGACTCTTCCCTTGGACTGCAAGAAGATCAAATCAGTCAATCCTAAAAGAAATCAACCCTGACTGTTCCCTGGAAGGCCAGATAATGAAACTGAAGCTTAAATATTTTGGCCACCAAATGAGAAGGGAGCACTCACTGGAGAAGACCCTGATGCTGGGAAAGATTGAAGGTCAAAGAAGACGGGGACGGCAAAGGATGAGATGGTTAGACAGTGTCATAGATGAAACGAACATGAAATTGAACAAACTTCAGATGACGGTGGAAGACAGGATGGCCTGGCATGATCTTGTCCATGGGGTTGCGAAGAGTCGGACTCAACTGTGCGACTGAACAACAACAAGAACAATAATTCCTTAAGATTAACAGTACACCGTTGATTACCTTTTCACAAGTTCTTTAAAAATAAAAGCTAGTATAATATAGTGGCTCTGAAATTCTCCACTAAAATCTCACCTTTGCCATGAATTAACTGGGTGGCCTTAAAGAAGCCATGCTCTCAGCCTCAACTGAAGATAATATGGTATTTCTACAGGAATGGTGTAAAGCTTACTATAAATGTATGTAAAGTGCATTGAATGTTTAAGTGCCACATAAGTGATAGGAACTAGTATTATCAAAATCACTGGAGTGCTTAGAGGCTAATTGCCTTAACCATTACACACAGCATATAACAGAGATACCCTATTTCATGAGACAATCACATGGCATTACCTTTCAGAATCCCTGGAGTACTTCGACCGTTTTCTCTCTGGGGAATCCCGTTCCTCAAATTTCTCTTTTCGGTCACTTCCCTTTTCTTTAAACTTTCCCTTTATAATAGAAGGCACAGTTAGTAAATAACATGGAACTGATTCCCCCTGTTCCCACTAAATTAGGTACCATTAACTCATTCTTTCATCTGAAAATTTGTATTTGACCAATTGTTCTCCAGACAGTAGAGAAAAATTGTCTAGTCCTTCTCTGTACTTTAACAGAACATCTCGCTTCACCATTATGGATTTAAATTGGTTCTATATGAACCTATTCATTTTATTAATTCTATGGTATTTTCAATGTGATATCAAAGTGCTTCCAAGAATAAGGTGTTCGTTATTTCTGTCTACCATCCACATGTGGAGGAAAAATGAAAGGTTTTCTTTCAAAGTATGTATTCTGGAGTGTTGCCACTAAAATATGACACTTGGATTACAATACACTGTGGCACACTGAGATTAGTAATCTATCTTCCCTTGTAAGTGTGAATTCTGCAGTTACAGATTCAACATCATACATCCAAACACTTCCTCATCAAAGAAAGAGGAACTTCTTACTCTGGAGGGAACTTCAGAATAATCCTATGGGAAATTCTTGAACTGCATGATAAGCTAATACAGTCTCTACAAAGCAGAATAAAGAACCCTGGGGACTGGCATTTACAGCAAGCCAAGTTGCTAAGCAATTAAGTTGTTTCATTCTGCTCCACTGGGAGCTTTCCATGACACATGTCTTTATTCTAAATTGCAGTCAGACTATCACAAAGGAATGAGCTAAATAGCAGTATTCTAAAAAAAGGAAAGGAAGTTACAGGGTCACAAATGAGCAATGTATCACATATCAATTAAGTTCTGTATTCCTCATGTTATGTGCTGGTTTGCCCTCTGTGATGAGACTATTTACAGTTGCCACTGTATGAGAAAGGATGGTGACAGTTCAATTCACTTTCAATAGTCATTTCAGTCTGTAATCTAGATGCCCCTGCCTTACATTCTGTATGCACATGCAAAGTTTTGCAAGCAGGGAACTCTAGTGTTTTGTTTACGTATCTGAATCCTGCTTCAGCACAGCCATCGCTATACAGGGGCCTTGCTAAGTAGTAGAACCCACTTCTCTAGTTACCTCACGCTCTCGCCTCTCCAAATACGCCAGCTCTTGCTCTGATCGTTTTATCTTCCGATGGATCTCCAGATTTTGCTGTCAGAAAGAACAGAAAGTGAGGTGAACAAATAGCTCTTGAATTAACTAATTTTATGCAACAACAAATATTTCTTCTGGTCTTTTAGAATACTTAGCTGAGCTGATTGTCAAGTTTCATGTGCAGCAAAAATTGGGATAAACAACTGACATCTGAACATGAAACAAACTTCGTGCTAAATTCCACCACTTAACAAAACTAAAGTACCTAAAAATGTTGAAGACAAGCAATATTCTTGAACTGCATGATAAAGAATGCATCTTTTTCAGTTACTATTTGATGGCTGAGTGCATAATACTATCTCCCCATCTATTAATTAACCTTTCCTGATCTCTTCTTGCACATGTTCATGCCCTCACTTCCCAAGTGATTGCCCCCTCCATTTTCACTACTCAATACTTAGTTTTTCTAAAGCGCTTTCCGTGTTCATAGCACATCAGCATTACATCTGCACTGCACGCAGGTTAACACTAACCATGGTTCACTCTAAACCATAATCTGAAATGGGTATCAACCTCAACCAGGGGCTGGATCTCAAAAATCCTTTCTGCTGAATGCAACTTTCTCACCTATTGCCTCCAGCTGCAGCCCAACATGCCCCCCTGTTCTCCATGAGCAACTTATCAGAAGGGGGCATCATTTTGTCAGTAGGATGGGGGAGTGAAAAAGTCATGCTCCACTGATGGGAAATCCTTCAATCAAGAGAAACACTCCATGGGATCCAAGCCCATGTTGTGAGGGAGTCCAGGCTTTCTGCAAACTATGCAAAGCTGAATTATTCAGGAGGCCTTTTTGCACAGATGGTTGCACTGTACAAAATGGCTTACAAACTTACTTGGATAAATTATTAGGGACGGTGGTCTATACTGCTATACTGATCCTTACTGTAAGCAGGATCCTATTATGTAATTTTTGTACTTCTCAATGTGTCATGTTCATACTTATGCTGTGCTTCAGTTCTTACTGGTGGTTCCAGACTTCTAAAATCCTAATGTCCCATTTTGCTGATTGTACTGACTCACTAGGTGTAATCTGCCTTGAGTCTGTGAGAAAGACAGACCATAAGTAACATAAATTAAAAAATAAATAAAAAGTATCCAGGAGACCTGGTTTGAATCCTCACTCTGCCATGGAAACGTGCTGGGTGACTGTCACTGTGGGCCAGTCACACTCTCTCAGCCTAACCTACCTCACAGAGTTGTTGTGAGGATAAAATGGAGAAGAGAATAAAGATATAAGCCACTTTGGGTCCCCACTGAGGAGTACGGTGGGGTATAAATGAACTAATGAAATAAATAAATATTTTAGTGTTTTGATCAATGCACCTTTAACCCTTCAGGTGCAATTAACTCACTTGTAAAATTATGACTCAACTGTACAAAAGCCCCTTTTCCTCTCTGGATCATTCATTCTACATCATCTTGTGTAACCTGAAAGTTTGTACTTCCAGAATTTAGTATTAGTTCATCTAATAAAAGGTATTTCTCTTGCTCAGAGCAACACCCAAGTCACATCAAAGGACCCTGAAGCAGTGGTATCAGAGTTTCTATTTTATTGTCCCTGTGCTAGAGTATTCCTACTGTTATCTGACTCTCAGCCAAGCTATTAATTCCACTTGCAAAAGGCTACACTAGAAACAGAAGTAACAGTTCTAAGGCACTTTAAAGGATTCTTGTGACATTAGTTTTTGTAGGCTAGAATATCAACTGAATCTTATTTATATGAGCTCTAGATTATGGAAGCTCACACCACAATAAGTACATCTTGAATGTCACACAGGCATTTTCATGCAACAACTATTCTTCTAGAACTGGACTCAGCAAGAATAGTTTTATTTAGGATCTCATAAATTTAGGAGGCTTAAGATCCCTAAACCCATTATTTTAAGACATGAGTTTAGGTTGAATTAAACAGCATTTGGAAGTGGCATTTCCATACAAACTACCAAGTAGTCAATATCTGATAAAAAGAGGATTTCTATAACTATGGGCATTATGGCCCCTTCCAACTGTCTACATAAGAATATATTGTTATTATCAGCAACTGAATCTGTTTTTTTTTCAGAAAGCATTTTGCTATCTTTCCCGGAAGCTGCTAACAAAGAGCTGTAACCACACAGGCTGCATCAGTTATTAGCATGTTGGTCCAAAACAAAAATCCAGAAGTTACTCCGACATATCAATTGAATCCATTATCTTCTATCTAGAACTCTAAATCTGTCTACTGTTTCCCCACAAAACTGGATGAAGAGGTGAGCTGGGAAAGATATTTAACCTATCACCCTTCAAATGCAGGTGGCTGGCCCATTTTCTCTGCCAAACCCCAATGTCTACAGAATCAGTTTTGGTCAGATCCAGATCTCAAGGAACCCATCCCTATCTAACTTGTGAGAGGGCTTATATCTAACTTCTTGAAGGTGCACAAGATGAACAACAGTGCCCTCATGAATATATTACTTCCTTCCTTACTTTGTGTAGGTTGGACAGTTGTTGATGCTTGATCAGTACTTCTTTATTTGGAAATTGCCTCCTGCAGAGCAAACATGCTAACTTATTCCAGTCAGTCAGCTTGTCCTCATCATTTTCAGTCTTTCGAGGCAGTTCTTCCTGTTGCACTGGTGGCCGTTGGGGCCGTGGCTGTGGGTCTTCTTCCTGTTCCTCCTCCTCTTCATTGTCACTGTCTCCACCATACTCTCCTAAGAGCCCTATCAGAGGATTTACCACTTTTGCCTGTTTGAAAAGAAAAAAAAAAGAGCAGAATGAGATCCATACCACCCCCTAGCTTATTCAACTGTTCTGAGATGCCTGAAGTGACCTTGATGTCCCCGATGCTCTTTAACATCTATATGTGCCCCCTTGCCCAGATTGCCCGGAGGCATGGACTGGGATGTCACTAGTATGCGGAAGACACCCAGCTCTATCTGTTGTTGGGTGATCAGTCTGCCTCCAAACCGGAAGATCTAGACGAGGCATCACAAGCCGTGGCTGGCTGGCTTAGGTGGCTGAAATTGAATCCGACTAAGACAGAGGTCCTTTGCCTAAGCCGGGATCCCACTTCTGACCTTCGATGGGGCACCTTTGGTGCCAGCGCTGGAGGTTAGGAGTTTGGGAGTGCTCCTGGATGCTTCCTTAACGATAGAGGTCCAGGTAGCAGCCACTGCCAAATCGGCCTTTTATCATCTTCAGTGGATCAGGCGGTTCCCTTCCTCGAACGCAACAACTTAGCAACAGTGATCCACGCAATGGTCACCTTGAGGTTGGACTACTTGGGGCTGCCCTTGTCTCAAATCCAGAAGCTGCAGCTGGTGCAAAATGCTGCGGCCAGTTTGCTGATGGGACTCCCAATTCGGGAGCACATCCAGCCTGTGCTAAAGGCATTGCACTGGCCGACAGCATACCGAATTCCTTTCAAGGTGCTGGTTCTTACCTTTAAACCCCTTTATGGTCAGGGGCCTACGTATCTGAGGGACTGCCTTTCCCCACATATTCCCCAGAGAGCACTGCTCTCAGGGGCCCAGAGCCAATTGGCCTTCCCAAGTCTTAAAGAAGCCAGGCTGTCAACAACCAGAGCCAGGGCCTTCTCGGTGGCAGCTCCAGCCTGGTGGAATGAGCTCCCAGAAGAGATCAGGGCCCTGTGAACCTCTTACAGTTCCGCAGGGCCTGTAAAACAGAGCTCTTCCACCAGGCTTTTGGAGCTGCCGCCACCATTCAACTTCATTAACAACTAGTTGTTGAAGGACAGGAAGCCCTGGAATTTATAACATCAGCCTGTGCCAACCGCCTGAAAGATATCAGAAGTAGACCTAAGAGCCGGTTACGGGAAGAAAGAACTAATATAGTAGCCATCGCTGACCCAGCAACAAGAATACTAGCACCAACTGTGTTATTGTTAACCACATTTTAACATTGTTTTAATTAGCTGTTGTAGATTTTCCGGATTGTATGGCCGTGGTCTTGGCATTGTAGGACCTGATGTTTCACTAGTAGCTGTACATCTTTCTGTGTTATACCTCTGAGAATGCCAGTCACTTGGCCAAGGCCAAGACCACGGCTATACAGCCCGGAAAATCTACAACAGTTAATGAACGCCGGCCGTGAAAGCCTTCGACAACATATTATTTTAATTGTTTTATTGCAAATATATGCTGATTTTACATAAGCCGCCCTGAGCCGGCCTTGGCTGGGAGGGCGGGGTAGAAATTTAAGAAAATAAATAAATAAATGTATTCAGTAACAAATCAGCCTCAACTGGAGGAGAGCCATTGTGGTATGGTGGCTAGAGTATCAGATCAAGCATTGGGAGATCCAGGTTTGAATCTCCACTCTGCCACGGAAGCTTGCTGAGTGACCTTGGGCTAGCCACATTCTCAGCCCTCACACATACTAGTGACATCCCAGTCCATATACAGTCAATAAAAATAAAACCAGAATAAAAGATCCCAGATGGCAATTTATAATTTTCTGTTCCCATTCTAGACTGCCCGGCCATTTGATAGGAGGGGGGGGAACGAGCAAAATATACACAAGGGGGAACATCTTCCAGCTAAAGTAGTACACTCCATTCTACTACATCACAACTTTACCATATCAGTCTGCTGCACGCATAATTAACCCTAAGATCAGGCTGGATCCTAGGAAGTATAATTGCACGACTCCCCTTTTGTCCCACACTACTGTAGGACCATCCCCCTCAGCCAATGCTGGGGGCGCGTCACAGAAACATGTGCTTCTCTCATTCTGTGTTAGTACAGTCAAGCATACCTGTGTTTTATTTATTTATTTATTTATTTATTTATTTATATTTAAATTTATACCCCGCCCTACCCCGAAGGCTCAGGGCGGCTTTTATTACAAAAATTCAACATCAGGAACCTTGGAGCACTTACAAATGTTTCCCAGGCAGTCTTTCCCATTTCCTTAATAACATAATACCATAATTGTTCTTCAAATCATTCTCTGGGTCCTTTGTATTTTTCTGCTAATTTTCATCATTGTTCCCAGCACTTAAAATTTAATAGTGGGTTTACAGGATTTTCAATCCCTCCTAATATTTCATAAATCTAAACCTCTGACAAAGAGAGAAAAGAAATCCTTTGAAGATAATAAACATTCATCATGGCAACAGAAAATCTTCGAAGCCATGTCTTTTTCAAATGGAATTCTGCAGAAAAATCTGTCAGCAGCCTGTTCAGTGTTCATCTCTACAGTTCTCTGCCAGAGCACAAAACTGTCATTGGGGGGTTGATAACGGTCACCAACAGGCGATTTCAGCAAGGCATTATACCCCCACCCCCATTAAAATTATTAGATAACTTATCTGCAATAAAAGGAAATTGTTCCAGAATGCAAATAAATAAATAAATGTCAAGTACGGCATTCTTACTGGGGGTGCACTCTCTTCTTTTTTCAGCGACGGAGGTAGTGGCTTTTTAAAGACATCTTCTGCAGGAAGTTTCTCCTCTTGGGGGTCACTCTGCAACATTAAGATTGGGCACTAAATCTATAATCAACTGTACTTCACTACCACTTACTTCATAATTCTATTGTCATATCTTGGCCACTCCCCTTCCCTCTCTGCCTCTTTTAGAAAGACAAGCATAAACTTAGCAATCACAAACATTCACTTCGCTAACTGAAACTGCCATCCCATTCCACAAATATGGCATGCTGGGAACAAAAAATAGAGGGGTGGTACAATTAGGACTGTCAGCAATCATCCAGTCCCTTCCCAGAAATATAAGGTACTAAAGCGGTCAAGTGGCCCTAATACACAAAAAGGCAACATGTTTGCTATTGGCTGTATGTAGAAAACACAAGTTCAGTTTCCCCTCCCAGACGGTTTCATGCTAGGACTTGCCTGATATTGTGCCCCCCTCCAACTGAGGCAAGATATAAATCTACATTTATTTGCTTTCAAGAGACAATGTTCCCTTCGTGAGAGCACTGAATCTTGAAAATCTTGTTCGGCTTTAAGGTGCTACTGGACTCAAATCCAGCTGTTCTACTGCAGACCAACACAGCTACCCTCTGAAATGACGGGTTTTTTTGGTAACTCTTAGAGTCATTGGGCATGTTACAACGAAAGTCAGGCCAGATTTAGTCCAGGCATTTTCTGTCTATGTGCCCTCTAGTTTTTATATCAGTGTTATGTATTACTGCTATATCTAGCTATCCAATTTAACTCTTACTGGAAAATTCAAACATTGTGTCTACACACGTAACCATACCCTTTTCTCCAGTGAGCTCACAACAGCATATTGTAATTGCCTCTCTATTTACCTGGCCTATAATTCAAAATACATTTCTTTCAGATTCTTTTCATAGACCGTTTGTAATTGCGAGGTACTCTGAAATATCTGAATGCGCCAACAGATGGCTTCAGATTCCAGTGCCCTTTGGAAATCACAGATATGAGTGCTGTAACTTGCACAGTTGTTTGCTCTAGAGTCTTTTGTTCTCAAATGAGAATAGATCTTGGAGGCCTTCCTGAACTGCCATACAAGTTACAATGCCCTACACTGTATCTTTCTAACCTGGCAGATCAATTCATACTGTCTCCCTCTATTGGTGCCTTTCACCAGCAGACTTTTGGGTTTCATTTGACATACCCTCAATAATGGCTACTGTCCCTCATCCCTCGTTCTGATGTTGTTTGTGCATATGTCTTTACTCAATTATAACTGTTTTAATGTTTTTATGTCACCACCTTGGGGACCCTGATCGGGTGGAAAAGCGGCATAAAAACATGTTTAATACATACTTAAAAAAAAAAAAAAAAAGATGGCCCCGGTCACACAGGCCGGATACTGCGGGGGGGAGGCGTGGCTGTTTTCCCCGCAGCGAAATAACACGTGACTGTGTGATCAGGCGTCCCCTCGCGGTCCCGGCGAGGTCCCGTGGTTAGGGGGGAGGTGCCGATCACACAACGCGCCAAAGAAGCGGCACGGCACGGCAATCGGGGTTGTGTTTTGTTTTTTTAACCTGAAGTATGTGCATGCCCCGTTGGGTGCTTGTGCGCATCCCTGGAGAACTCGGGGGGGGGGGACCTTTTCGCAATGGGGCATGGGTGGGCGCCGGATGCCACCGGAAACGCCCGCCCTTGCCCCGCGGTTTCCGGAAACTAGTACCTCCAAGGTACTAGTTTTTTGCCGCGCATCTTCCGCGGGAAGCCTCGGTTGAGCCACGGGAGCTCTATGCTTCCCAGATGTGGCAGTGAGATCGCACCCGGAAAATCCGCCTATCTTCCGTCTCTCTAGCGTGGCTAATGCTCCGTGTGACCGGGGCCACTGTTATGTTTCTTAGGCTTAATATATTTTGCCTAACAATTCATAAAATTGTATACTCCCTCAAGATATTGTGTTCTGCTTTATTCCATGGTCAAAAGTGCTTCTCTGGTCAAGAAGAATTTGCAGTACTACAAAGAGTTTTAAGTTAGAACAGAAACGGTGCTCTCCTAATGTGTATCTTGTAGGTTTCCAGATTTGCCTAGTTGCAAAGACAGGCAATAAGAGCACCCTACTGACAGACTGAGTCTGTGCTGGTTTGGGTATCTCATGCTGGTTGCGCAACTCACAAGAGAAGTTTTGTGACACTGAGATTTACCTTGGATGATTTGTTTCTGTGTCTCTCTCTCCTGTCTCTGCTATCTCTGCTAGACGTCTCATCTCTTTCACTTGTCCTCTCCTGGCTCCTATGCCTCCTTCCACTAGGAGGTGGTGGTGAAGACGCTTCTCGACCCATTGGTATTTCTCTCTGGAAGGATGTATTTGTACAAGAACATTTTTGACAAAGGCTTATTTTGTTAGAAAACAATGGGCTGGATCCAGCACAAGGACACTGTGTGGTTTGCACAAAGATCCCCATCTCTCTCCATCCACACCAGTCATTTTCAATCCTGGGAAAGTTTATCCACCTGGTGTCAAAGGGCCTGTGTGGTTTGTTGATCATACAAAGAGGCCGAAGGGAGCAATTTTACCCTCTTGCCCCTCCCCACTGCAGCCTCCCAATCACTCCATGTGGGTCTTGCAATCCCAAGAATAAAATTTTCCAGGGTCAGAAATGGCTGCTAGCAGTGGGGAGAG